GAGGATCATTTAGCAAAATGTGATTTTTTTATTTTTTATTTTTTTTACAAATGTCTGTGAGTTTATCACTCCCTATTTCTGTTACACTAAACTTCAACTTTTACAATTATTACAGTTGTTTTCTTATTTAATATTCATATATGCAGCATCTATACGTATATACTGTATGTAGAGGTGGAACATGTGGGTGAAGAACTGTGCTCATAGCTGCTGCTGGTCATTTGTCTTCGGTGGGTATTGTATAATGATTTGAGGTTACAGGGATGTTTTGTGGCGTTGCTTTCATGATGAGTACCTCAGGTGAATATGTGGAAATGATTCGCAGTCTTTTGCTTCATTCTGTTCCTTCTCAAACCAGATGTAAGTTGACATGTGTGTGTGTTTGCATTATTATGTTTATATCAAATCTTTCTTTCCTTTCTTTCTCTTTTATTGAGTATTGGACTTGAATTCTCAATAATGCTCATGTATTAAATATGCATTGCTTATTTGGTGTTTTTAAATGTAGTTTGAGATAAATCAACTAAACTAAATTAAACTAAACTATACATTTACAATTAGTGGCTCAGACTAGGCATTTATAAAATGGGAAATAAACACATTATAATAAACAATATATGTAAATCTTGTATTTTATGTAGGTTTTATTCAGTTTCTTTCATTAATATTTTCTACCGTTTACACCTTTTTTATACCCATTTGCTATTTTTACATATATACTCCCTATTTTTGTCTCTGTTCTTTTCTTGTCTTTGAGCCAAATGCTACGTAATTTTATTGTGACATGTACTGGACCGTGTAAATCTGCAACGACGAATAAAGAAAGTTTATGATTGATTCACACATAGCAAAGACAAGTAGATGTGACGTCATTTGACAGAAATCTGAGCATTTTCCTGATATTTCCGACCATTTAATGAAAAACTGGTTAGTGTGTGATTGGTAAAACATTCTACTCATCTCTTTATGAAAAGGCAGACGGCAGAACTGGACCTAAATATGAAGTTACACTCAATAATCCTGGAAGTATGATGAAAGTCAGTAATTAGATGTGATCATTTTACCTTTTCAGTCAAAAATGTCCTTCAGAGGACTCTGAGTGGTGTCATTAGTGAGTGTTTGTCGGTGAGCAGAAGGTGTCAACAGGTTGGAGGAGGTTTTATTTGGGGTGAGTCTCCTTCCCCTCTTCCCCCCTTTTCCCCTCCTTTTGTCTCGTCTTTTCAGATGAGGGGTGTGGATCGTGGTGTCACAAGCCTGAGCTCGTACCTCTGCAGGGGAAGTTCATCACCCTGCATTTACATCTGCGATGCCAATCACACAGAGACTGGACAGGCGGTTACTCTACTAACAACCACAGATGAAACTGAAAGAACTCCTCCTGTCAGATTTACAAAAACTAGACTGTAAATACAGTAAGAAGGAGAGAAACGTGGACTTCTAGTTTTGTGCAGAAACACAAAGAAAAGCCTCACGTGAACCTGAGGCAGAATACCGACGTGTTTTTACTGCTCACATGTGTCTGGTTGAACAGCTTTAATGTTCTGGTTGAACTAGTTACAGGCAGGTGTGTGTGTTTGTTTAGCTTCTACTAAATACCGAGTACAGTCCTGAAGGAGACACTTACAGGCAGAGACAGTGGCGCCATTTTAAATCAGGATTTCTACATTTATAATCCAACAAAAGCAGAAAAAAGAGAGCCAGAACAGAATAAAACCTCATGAAATGCAGTTAAAACAGCAAAAAAACGTATAGTTTTACTAATTTTTGCTGTTATTTAAAAACAAAAATATCTATATTAAGCGTTAAAAAATACTAAATACTTATTCCTTATAATATTTTTATAATATTTACAGATATTTGCACTTTTTCACTGCTTTGTAGTTTCTGAACATGACAATATTCCACCATTTATAACACATTTTTTGCCCCTTCGCTGTCAGAGCTTCACCATTTTGTTTGTTTGTTTTTTTGTTTTTAATTTTTAAAAAGTGTGTAGGTTAGATTTACATTTAGAGTGTACGCCCTGTAAATGATAATGATTTATAATCCAACAAAAGCTGAAAAAATGAGAGTCAGATTGGGACAAAATCTTACAAAATGTATTTAAATCAGCAAAAAATGTAATTGTTTTACTGATATTGTTATTTTTAAAAATAAAGTTATCTATAATAGGGCTTTAAAAAATATAGTAAATAATTTAAAACTGCTTCCCCTGTCTTGTTGAATTACAGATAATATCTTGTAAGATAAAAATGTTTAATTTACATGGTTACTGAATTTTTAAAAAATGTCTAAAAACGGCCACATTAAATGTTTGTATTTTTTTACAAATAGTATTTCATAAAATCACACAATTTTACCGTATTTAAATCAGCTAAAATCACATTATTTTACTGATATTTTTCATTTATTTTCACTGTTTCACTATTTTATTTTTAATCTTTGGAATATTATGCTATTCTATTTTTTTAAAACAAATTTTCTGGCACACTTATTGTAAGGTTTTCGTTATTATTATTATTATTATTATTTTACAGATTATTTATTTATTTAGAATGTATAGTTTAGATTTTTCATTCAGACTTAAAAAATATAATATAATATTAGAAAATATAATGCAAAGATATTGTTCGAGCTTCCATTTGCAGCAGGACTGTGGAATTTGTAATCCAACAAAAGCTGAAAAAGGGAAATCACAACAGGACAAAACCTCATAAACCGGTCTGTGTCGACCAGAAGCAGTGTATTAATCACAAATACAGTGAAACTAAAGCATGCAGTTTATAATATTCCATCTTTATAGAGTCACTATTTCAAACTTTATCCTCATATTCCAGTATAAATAGATATATCTGCACTCTGAATAGAATGTAGATGGTTTCAGTTCTGTGTTAACTCTCTTCTGAAACCATAGCTGCAGTTTTAAGATGCAGGATGTGAAGCCTCATAAGGGCAGATGTAACTAAACCACTTGAAAACTCCCACATCTACTCACACACGCGAAATACAAACCACACACTCTATACATATTCAGAATCAGTTCTCAGTCTGTTTTTTTTCTCCACATCCGTGCTGCTTTTCACCTCCATGAATCGAACATGAGTTTAGACAGCAGAGGGGAGCGCGTGAAGTGTCGTCCTTCGTACATATTCGTCCTGTTAGATCAGTGAGGGACTCGTTTCTTTTGTCTGAGTCACCTTGTGTGGGAAGAAAACGAGCTCGGCTTCCATTACAGCAGACACGCCATCAGGTCACCATGTGATTCAGAAAAACTCGACGCAAAGAGGCAAAAACTGTGGCTCAGATACAACATTTATCGAACATATTTGTGCTATCGATTCATTAATATCAGTTTTAATTGACACATTTAATCAAGCGCTGTACTCAGTTACAGTTTTATATAATTTACTTGAACCACATTGTTCTTTTTCCTTATTTAGCAGCTTTAGTTCTTAAGCTAGTTAGGCTATGTAGTGATATTTTACACAACTAACATCAAATAAAATACCATTTAAACAGTTAAGATTAGCTCAACCTCCATCTGCTGCAACATAAAAGTGCTTCTGATGACGTTTCTGTACTTTACCTTCTAATAACTTTGCACTTTTACATGTAATTGAGTATTTTTACACGGTAGTACGATTACATTTACTGAAGCAAACGACATCCTCTACAACTGATTGTACTTTTTATACTAAAGGTGATTCCTCTCATAATGCTTTTGTACTACTGTATTACTTCTTGTACTTTCTGAATATGTCTTCCTTGGCGGCAATAACGCAATAAGATGATGCAATAATCTTGCTCTAATATCTTAATCTTGTTGCGCTTGAGTTTGGATTAACTAACGGTGTCTGTGTTTGTAGATCTTAACACAGGCTTGCACGCACAGACATTTTACTTGCGGGGCTTTGCCAATTTTTGGACAAAATTTCCTTTCTTTGCGCGGGAAGCGTGTTAGCTCGGCTGTCATAAGGCGCGCAGAGGAGAGATTCTCTGAGAGGACAAAGCTGTGATTCATCTGCAGGATTCATGTAATGAATTTGTGTAGTTTGTGCTTGAACACAAGTAGTGGAACAGGAACACGTTTACTTTTAAGGTACTTTAACTAATTTATTGTAGTTTTTCACATGACAACGTTGTACTTTTTCTGACAACCATGGCTAGAAGTTACTTTACAGAGTGATATTTTGACACAAACTAAACTATTATTGACTAAAATACCAACTAAATGGTTATTTTAAGTGCCTCTGGTAATATTTTTGCACTTCTACTTCAGTAATATTTTAAACGCAGGACTTTCACATACATGTAGTATTTTTTCATTGTAGTGCTATTCCTACTGATTATACTTTTAACACCGAAAGTGATTCTTCTGGTCCTGTTTTTACACTTACAATGGAGCATTTTAACACTACAATACTATATATACACAATACTATATACCATAACATCACTGTCCTTTAATATGATGCAACAAGATCATGCAGTAATCTAGATTTAAGCTTTATTTTGTTGCACTTGAGCTTAGATTTATTATTTATTAGTAATCTGAACAAAGGCTTGCATGCTCAGACATTTTGTTTGCAGCACTTTGTTGATTTTTTTGCTGAAAATGTCCTATTTTAAAACAAGTTCCTGCCAAATCCATCACTTCCAGCCGTATAAATCTCACTCCATGCATTTAAAATAAACTAGACACCCTAAAGCAAGCTTGTGAGATTGTGTAACATGTGATTAAAGTTCACATTTCGTAGCCTGAGAACAAAAGACGATGAAAATTTTAAAGGATTGTGTCACATCCTCCTTCTTCTCTCCATCCGCTGACAGGACAACAGCGTCCAGCCGTCCGGCGCTCTGATTGGTCGGCTGGATGTAACGGCATCTCTGATTGGTAACAATATTTTGATGTGGATGTACCAGCGGCTCTGATTGGTCCAAATATTGCCGCTCCGGAGCTTCTATTTTGAACATAAATACAAGCAGCCTCAGTGTGTTTTCTCAGAAACCGGAGGCTGTCAGAGAGAGAGGATCCACCGCTGCGGCTCTCTGACACAAACAGCAGCTATGTGGCTTTAGCAGCTCAGCAAGACCGACTCAACGTTTCACCCCACACGGAACCACCGAATCACTTCCAGCCGGTGTTTTGGCAGCGCATCTTTGGAAATGTTACCTTGAAAAATAATTGTTGCTAGCTAACTTGTTAGCTTCCGGGTTAGCTTGAAGTTTGGAGCGTCTTGCTAATTTGGCCGACACGAAATTAAAATTAAATCCACCGCAAAGGCAGCATCTTCTGCAGGATTTATCCAGATTGGACAGCAAAAAAATTAAGTCATGGACGCCTTTTTCAGTCCCGTTAACACCGCTTTAAAAGGCAGGCCCGAGGGGATCCCCGGACTTTCCTCGCTCACTCTGCCCGAGTTGAGCACAAAGGACCCGCATTGCAGGAATCTGTTCTCCCCCGGACCCGCGGCTGTGCTGTCTCCTGTCACCAATTTGGCTCTGGACATGAACAATTTAGCTGGACTGGGAAGGTACTATTAATAATATTTTATCTGTTATCTCTGACTTTAGCTCATATCTTTGTAAGCCATGAACCTTACTCCCCATCAGTTGTTTTGAAGCCCTTATCTGACACGCAGAGTGTGATGGAGTGTTCATATTATTGATTTCTTTTCTCTGTTAATCTCTTTTCTGCACAGTCAATGTGATACCCCGAAAAGGAGAAAGCATGCACCCCTTGAGAAGATTCCCTCCTTTGCCTCTGACGTCTCATCTGATGCTGGTGAGCCCCCCTTAAACACCATTGTCTGTGCTAATGGATGCTGTTAGATTTGATGCCTGAGGGCCTCATGTTCATGCCTTGCACCTGATTTCATAGTCATGCCTTCAACTGTAGTTGTGGTCATGGGATAAGGAGTGTTGTCAGTGGTGGGTTGAAACTTTTTAGAGTTGCAATTGTATTATTTAATTGACAGAAAACCATTCAGAAGCTGTTTTTGTTATTTTTTTTTCAAGCTAAAAAGGCCAATACAACCTTGTTTCCTGCTTCTTATATGCATGGATTTGCCACTTTTCTTTGTCTCATGGATGCTTGAGTGTTAGTAGATCAAATCAAACAAAGCTGGGAAGTTGGGACCTTTCTTCAAGTTTACAGTCTAAAAATAACCACAAATTTACAGTCTAATCTTTATTTAACTGACAATCCACCAGTCACAGCCTGAATCCTCTGGTTTTTGGTGCCACTTTCCCATTCTGTGCTGCACCACCTGACGCTTGTGTAGATTTATGACCCAGATCTCTTCCCCCAGGCCTCGGCATGGATCCCCCCAGCCCCATGGATGCTGTCGAAGTCGAGGACACGTAAGTTTCGCTGTCCCCCCCTCCTGTCTATTCCAATCAGTCAGCTTGTGAGCGGCGCCCCTCTGCCCCCCACCCGCCCTGCGCTTGGGTTCAGCTGAGCCAAGCATCATTTCTCATCTGTAGGATTATTGTTTCTACCGTTGGCTTTAAGATGCTGGCTTCACTCTTTTTTTTTTTCTTAAGCAGATTAGCAGATAAGGCAATATGAGATTAACTTTCTTTGTGTTTTTTAAGTGAAAAAGACACGGTCGCCTGGGATGTTACAGAATCAGATTACAGGTGTTGACTCTTGAGAAAATGTGGAGAAGGAAAAAACACGTTTATATGAATTTCTATTTGCACACGGACAAGTTTTGACTCTTGTTGAAACCTGAAGGCAGGTCGCCGCGAAACTTGTTGCAGCAGTTGTGCTCAGCTTTGTTATCTTGACCAGTTTGTCAGCACATCCTCCGCCGCCTAATCTTGGGTGGCCCTTTTTTTTCCCTAATTCTTAGTTGGGTGAGTCTCTGCAGACATCTGCCGCTGTCTGATGCGAGTTCCTATACAGCAGCATTTGGTGCTCAGGGCCTCATTCACCTCCTTTTAACAGCTGTTTGGTTGCTAGGAGTTTTCCAGGTTGGGGGAGGACATGCCCTGGTTTTAATGATAGCCCACCCCCTCTGGTTTTTGGCACACTCTTCCTATGCAGTGTTATTTCAATAGGGAAAAGTGGGGCTGGAGATTCTCCTGCGTCAGAGCTATTGAAATCAGGGCACCCCCGGAGAACAACCGCCCTCCCCTCCTCTGGTCTGTACTGAATGGGGCACGCTCCCCCCCTCAACAAACAAAGAGTCCTTGCAGAAAAGGGTTTGGCAGCGTTGGCTCCAGCAGGCATATGGTAGATTAGCTGATCTCTGCATCCCTTCCCCTGCCCTCCCTCCCTCCCCTCCCCTCCTCTTCTTGAGCTCCACACTGAGCCCTCAGCTCCACTTGTTTAGCATACAGGTGGGCATTACTCCAATGCAAAGACCACCTCTCGCCGCTTTGCATTCACCCAACTTCCTCAAGTCCAACCGTTCCTCTCGGTTTCTCAATAGAGCCCCGGATTCTTTGTCTTTGCTAGTTTATGAGCGTGCAGTGTATCGACTGGCGGTTGAGGCCGCTTTTCTTGGCAGATTTTTTTTATTTTTTATTACAAAGATGCGTTAACTTTCTCTTATGTTTTCTTGAATTCAGATTTTTTTTAAAAATCTTTTCTTGCTGTTATCTCCATTTTCTGTTACAGATTTGAGAAGGCCATTCAACAGTCAAGCAGAGTTGTTAACGAGTAAGTTGCTTTCCAGTTGATAACATAAAATCCTTTGCCACTGTTGTCTCATTTGAGCAACATTGCCGTCCTGGGAGCAGTTTGTTCCTCAAACTGAAACTGTCTGTCTGCCTGTTAATGTGATCTGTACTGACTGCAGTTCCTTCCTCTCCCCTTTATTGACTATAGGAAGATGCCAATTCGACGAATCAACTCATTGCCAGTAAGCAGTTTTGTCGTGTTTCCTGTGGTTACAGCCCTGCATGTCTGTTTGTAATTGCTTGAATTTGTGGCCAATGCTGTGAGAATGTGGTCTCTCGTAGTTCTAATTTGGCTGTCGAGTCTCCATATCACTAAAATTTAATTACAGAATTTTCTGCCAGAGCAGTTGGAGATAAAAAACAAAAACAAAACAACAACATGTGCTAATGGAGGGGAAGCCTCAGAATACAGAAAACAGTCAAACCTTCAGTGACAAGGTTGAATCTCAAGGGCAGATCTTATTATTTAATGAGTTCAAAACATCCTCCAGTGAAAAATCCACCACAGAGCAGCTTGTTTACTAAACTCATGTCTTCTTATTCCCTCCTTCAGCTCCAGCTCCTCTGTGTCAGTCCATCTCTGAAGGGACAGGAAGAAGATTCGAACCGCTATGGAATATTCGGCCAACCCCTCTCCCAGAGAAGCGCCTCCTTGGCTTCTGAACACGACAACAAGGAGAACATGCCAGAGGTCAGTGGCTCAGACTGTTTTTGGTACAAAAGGCCACTGATGAAGTGTTTGACAAGTAAATCTGTAAGAGGAACCTACAGTGTTAAAAGGCCTGTTGCCTGCTTAGATGATAGAACTGAAGCAGTGTTACCATGTTGAAGGCATTGCGTCATTAAGATTCTGGTTGATTTTCCATTTTATTATATCACTCAGAGTTACAAGAATAACATTAGTGTCAATGTTGGCCCAGGAAAAACCTTGTTTTCCTTGCACACATTACACGGTTTGTGCAGATAACGAATGCCGGAGGAAAAATTGTGTGTACAGAATCTGTGAAACCACTTGTGTTGAGCCTTGATTCACTGTTTAAACCATGTTTTCTCTTTTCAGGAGGGCTTTGAATTCAAGAAACCAACCAAGCCGGCGTCACGTTGCCGTGTCCGCTCCTTCAACAGCGGACAGGCGAAGGACGCTTTCGCCCGCCGTCCCAGTTCAGCACCAGCCCTCATGGTAACTCTAACGTGAAGAACTCGTCCACGTTGCCTCTCAAGCTCAAGATCTAGTCCTAGAAGCGTGCTGATCCTCCGTGTCTTCTCCCTCTTGTCCAGCTTTCCTCGCCTCCTCCAGCCCAGCAGTGTGACTTTTTCGACAGCAGCCCCATGTTCCTGAGACGCTCATCTCAAAACGACGATGACGACGAGGATGACGGCTTTTTTGGCGTGCTGGACGACAACATGGAGGTGAGGTTCAGAGCTTCAGAAGAAAGGAATGAGGAAAAAAAATGGGTGTGAAATAGTTTTTGAACGCTCTTTCCAAATATTTCTTATGGGAGAGACTCTCAACTTAATAAATCCTACAAAAATATCAATGGGAGAATTCTGTAAGGCTAAAAACAGCAGGAGTATGATACACGTCTCACCTGTCTCACCCCAAAAAAAACAGTCATCTGTTTTGTACTGCCTAAAATTGGAAACATCCAGACAACTGAGTTGTCTTGAAGGCATGTAATAGACATGTGGGGGGAAAAATTTCAGGAAACTCCTTAAACGTTGTAGGTCTTTTTTAATCAAGTTTGACTGGTGTTTGTATGGATGCAGTTTTTCAACGGGAGCCTGATCTTGTTATCCCACAATAACTTTTCAGGAATGTTACCAAGATGGCTGCCGAGTGGCCAAACTCTCCTATGAGGACTTTGCTGTTTCCATGATCTGTTAATTGCGCTATGATTTGAAAATAAAACTACATTATGTCTTAATATTTGTCTCACGGCGCCCCTTTTTGTCTCTTGCAGAACGACTCTGGGATGCCGATGGGAATGGCCAGCTTGCTCACTGCCCCACTGGTGGCCGACAGCACCGGAGAAGACTCTGTAAGTTTGTCCACCGGAGAGCAAAACCTTTACTTTAGCAGCAGTAAAAGATTTATAATTTATTGTATTGTCTGCTAGATGATTGGGAATGCAGGAAGGTGGAAGACTTTATGTGGCAGCTTCTCTTAGAGCTCATTCATGAAAGAGTTAATCATGTTATTGACAGCATCCCTGCTTGGAGTTTAATATTTTGCTTCTTCTCGCCGTGTCATCAGCCCGTGATGCGCTGCCGGCCGCGCAACCTGTTCCGCTCGCCCTCCATGCCCAGTCCGGTGTCCCGGCCCTCCGTGAAGCGTCCCGACTGCCCCGGAGATGACAACACGCCGGTCAGGGTGAAGAGACGACGCAGCCTGGCGGGAACTCACGTCACCATCCTGGAACAAAACCCCGAATCCCCGAGGATGGTGAGTCCTCGCCGCCTGGAGCAGCAGGCATCACGTTTGTCTGATTTACAGCTTTGATGGATTATCATTCTGACCAACTGTTGGATCCAATATTTAGCTTGTTCTTTTGAAATATGAGAAAACTGTAGTCGCCTCTCTGCTCTCTATAACGTCCCACTCACAACACTGTCTAACCTGAATAACGGTTTAAAATAATCAGTTTAGATCCCTGAGAAAACCTTGTCGGTCCAACTGTAACCTGATTATAGTTAATTTAATAAAGTAAAATAAGATAATTGCCGACATGATGGCGACACAATCTTTGGACAATCTGAACTAGTGCTTTTGTTTATTTAGATTTTTATATTTTTACTGATATTACTTAAGGCTTATTGCATCGACCGTGAGGTCAGATCTGGTCGAGGAATCAGCATCGTCCTCTGTTAAATATAAACCAAATTCAGCTTTTATGTGCTTCTTACTGTCTGCAGCGGTTTATAAATCCTTCCAGTGCTGCCACTACCTAAGAAGTTTCCTCTTGTGCACCAGAACTGTACGTTTAAGCTTAATGTTTGAGTCGGAAGTCAACCATTCACAACTCAGAGCTGCAGTTCCAAACTTTTTGGTTGATTGTTGTGATGCTGGAGAACATTTGATCCCATCTGGAAATGCAGACGTTGATCCGTTCAGACAAAAGCAGGAACCTATTGGCAGGTTAAGAACCAGCCTGGCCGGGCCGCCTGTCACCTGTTAGTGGAAGTGAAGAAACGAGCTCCGAAACATCCGCCGAGGCTTATTGGCTGTTGTCGCAGGCTTTACAGACTGTCTTAAATTACCTCATTTTCTCCATGACTGCCTCCTTAAGTCTCTCCCTCCTCCATTTCCAGGGCTGCTCGCTGCTGCAGAGGTCCAAATCCTTCTGTCAGACGGAGATTGAAAAGCTGCTGGACAGTGAGGACACTTCTAATGAGCTAATAGGAGATTTCACCAAGGTAAAGAAGGCCGAACACTCCTCAGCTTGTGTGGCTTTTACAGGTAAATTAAACGAGTAGCTTTTCTAATCCAATTTCCTCCTCTGTCTTGCAGCCCTTCGTACTGCCCACAGTAGAGGGAAAACATCAAGACCTCAAGTACATTACCCCAGCTATCGTGAGTGGACCATCTTTTCCACCCTGTGCAACATCTTGTTAATGTTTTACTGCAGCTACAGTCAAAATATTTTCAAAATAAAGCACTAAAGTGTATTTTTTTTTCCATGACTTTTTCAGATGGTGGCAGCTCTCACCGGACAGTTTGCTCATCTAGTCGAGCAGGTCATTGTCATCGACTGCCGCTACCCCTACGAGTTCGAAGGAGGACACATCAAGGTGAGTCGACGGTGTATGAAAGACTCGGATGTGACTTAATCTGTGCAAAAATGTGTAGTAGTTGTGTTGCATCTTACTTTGTTCCATGTTGTGACACTGGTGTTCTGGTTTGCCTTTTTGCCCCTCAGGGAGCTCTGAACCTGCACCAAGAAGACCAGGTGCAGGACTTCCTCCTCCAGACCCCCATCGTCCCGGCCTGCCCCGACAAGCGGGTCGTCATCATCTTCCACTGCGAGTTCTCGTCGGAGCGCGGCCCTCGGATGTGCCGCTTCGTCAGGGAGCGAGATCGCGCCATGAACGAATACCCCAAACTCCACTACCCCGAGCTCTACATCCTCAAGGGCGGATACAAAGACTTCTTCCCACATTTTCAGGTTGGTTTTGCTTCCGTCTTGAGCTGATAGTTTGTCTTTGTAAGCTTCGACTGGGACAAATTGTTCCCGCCATAAGTTCCATTTAGTCGCTGCTACGCTGAATAAAGTTATACAGACCTTGGTGGCTGCTTTGGAAAACTCTCGTTGGTGTTCCTAGTCTTTACAAAATACCTTTTTCGCAACCACAGATTACATGCAGAAACTTATTCTAACTGGAAACCGCCCAACATGAGCTGAAATACTCTGACGCAACATAGCGACACATTTATCACATCGAACAATCTGAGGTAGCTGCGTCATTGCAGCACGAGCCGGGGTATTTAGCCGTTGCAGTCCTGTGCTTGCTTAAGTAGTTTTGTTTTGTTGTACTTTTTCAAAAAAAAAAAGGCTCTCACTTTGCAAACATTAAACTTAAAAGATGATGCGCTGTTTGCTCTTCTGTCGACATCTCCAGATGTTGTGAAACATGTCCAATACCAGCTGGCATGAAAGGAGCAATTACAACTTTCCAAAATGAAAGCAATTCCTGAAGACTTCTCTTTATTTTTTGTTCTTGTCGATGGCCAAAGCTTTGTTTGTTTCTTCCACTTCTTTGAGTCTTTTTTAAGAGCAAACAGCTGGATTTGTTTCCAGCTTCTTGTACTGTTTATCGTGGCCACGTTAGCCTCAACCAACACCTTCTGATGACAGACGAGTTTGTTTGCTCCAAAGCAGTTACTGGAAACAAACTTTTTCTTTTATACAATTTTTGCAAAATTTCAGAAATTTGTTTTTAACCTCGACTGACAGATATTGAGCTGAATTTTTAGGCGATCTCCGTTTATTGGCAATGAAATTAGTCGGAGTTAGTGGAACAGTTACTAACTCAGTCTATGCAAAGTGCTTCTTTTCTCGCCATATACCAACACATGTTAGAAATCAAATGGTCTGTGAAAGAATGATTACAGCCTTGATGTATTACTTCATGGAGCACAGCCCAGTAACTGATTGTGTTCCGACATGTCATGAACAGATGAGGCGCTGTGTGTAGATCTCATTGGTCTGGATGAGGTTTTAATCTTACTTTTATAGTTTTTTAGCATTAACATTCTTTCTAGACCTCAGGGTGAGTGTGTGGTGTTATAATTTCCCCTTAATCACCTTTTACTAATCTTAAACTTGACTTGAGATGTTTGTCACGTGTCTTCAGGAGGTCATATCATCTTATCTTTATCATCTCGCTGTCTCCCTTTACAGGCACAATGTGAACCTCAGTCCTACCGGCCGATGCACCACGAGGACTTCAAGGAGGACCTGAGGAAGTTCCGCCTCAAGAGCCGCACCTGGGCCGGCGAGCGCAGCAAGAGGGACATGTACAGCCGGCTGAAGAAGCTGTGAGCGCCTCCCCGTCCTCCCAGACTGCCTGTAGAAACACACTGCCTCCCCGGAAAACAAACTCGACACGAACCACCTCGCCGAACCACCGAGGAACAACCTTTTTGGGATCGCGCCAGCAGAAAAAGGGGGACTTTTTTTTATTTTTATATAAAGTCCCAGAAGTTCCATTTAACTATAGCAAAGTTAGTTATTTATGCAAATTCAAAGAGGGAAAGACGTGAAACGATGAACCCTCGGCCGGAAGACGTCGTCGCCGAGGTGCAGCGAACAGATTTAATTAATCTGAAAGCGTTTTTAAAAACCACTTGGACCGACTGCCTGTTTTATTTTTTTTTTGTGTTTTTAATGTGTCGACACAACTTGGTGTCAGATTGCAATAATACAACCAAACCAGCAAACTGCCAGGTCTGAAGTTTGTCTTTCTGTCTCCTCACTGGATGTTTTTTTTTATTTTGAATTTGTCATGTCCCTCCTTTTATTTAAGCACTTAAGTTAAATACCTTGAAACGACGAGGTGCTTTTGTGACATTGCTTTTGATATAATTTTTTTTGGAATGAATTGTGTTTTCCAGTAATTAGACAGTGATTTGTGGAAAGTTTCTCTAGGCGTCCCAAAAATGCAAATTGGATATTTTTACACCTGTAAAAAAAACAATGCAGTTTCTTCTCCCTCCTCTCCTTCCTGAACAGTTGCAATACTTGGTCATTTTTTTGCTCCGTCAGAAGATACCAAAGCAAACAAAAAGCTACCTGTTAACTTTGCAGTGAGATTTTTTTCTGATGCTGCAGGTCAGCAAGTGTGAGATTTTTTTTTTCTTTCTTATTTTTTCTTTTTATTTTTTTTCCATCTAAGAAAAACATCTTTTTGTTTCGCTCCTTCCCTTCCAGAGATCCGGTGTCTGACCCTCTGCAGAGCTAATGATGTCAGGTTGTAAGGAGTAGGGTGGTTTTGAATATTTTGGTACAGGCTCGTGGGGGAGCTGCTGAAATAAAGATCCAATGTGCGTTCGAAAGCGGTTGTGCAGAAGCATCTTTTTCTCCGAGTACTGACGAGGTTTCTTGCCGGTAATTTGCCAGATATAACCTCCTGTTTCAGGAGCAACTAGTGGGTTATTGAGTTCAACTTTGCTGATTCAAACATGGAAAAATTAGTTAAACCTACTATGTGGACAAAGATGGGCAATTTAGTTTATTTTTTTGAGTTAAGAATTCTGATATATCGACTTATTTTCTTTAAATATGTACAATATGATGGAGTTGTATTGACGATCGGCTCTCTGCTACATGCGCTGCACATGTCGTACTTTTGTAAACAATGGGGTCGGAGCTGCGCTGCGTCATGTGTGCATGTTTCTAAATGTATTGCAGCCATTGTTTTCTGCATTAGCAAAATTTTCTTTAATCTCAAACAGTGTTCGAACCATTATCTGCCCAGTTTTTGTTCATTTACCAAAAGTAATGCGGTTTAATACCCAGCCTCAAGAAATCTTGGTTTATCAGGTTCGTAGGAAAACATGTGCAGAGTGAAACTAATGTTGGTGCACGAGTGCATCACTGCATTAAATGATGCCTTCAAAAGGCAGGAAAAGCCAAACGGTCTGTGTAGTGTGCAGGTGTTTTGAAGGTAATACTCAACAATGTTGTTTTCAGCCTTTGCCTGTCCATAAAGTGTTGTTTTTTGTTTTTTTTAAATACATGCCAGCAAATTAAGCATTCAGAGCTCAGTATTTCCATCTTGATACTGCAGTTTACCAATGACAGGCCTTAAAAACACAGATTGCTGGTTTGAACGTGCGGCTGAATTAGTCTGATATTACAGTTTATGTAGCATAGAGTAGTTTCACAGTGTTTGAGCAGAGGTGTAGGTGAGCCGGTGTGCTCGAGCTGCACCAAGGAAACAATGTAGTTGCGTCATTTGAAGGTAGAAATAGATTAATTTCATGAAAAAATGTCTAAATATGTAACTTTTATACAGAGAATTGAGTTTTTAGGGGTTAAACCAACAACCAGGGAGCCACTTCAGTCAAGCGTAGTCAGTTTAATACCAGGCTGAGTACAGTATAGTTGACCTTGAAGCATATCTTTATATCAAAGAGTTGATTGCTGTGAGTTTAATTGGTGCTTTTACTTATTTACAGATCAAAACATCCTTTTATCTTAGTGTTCTTGGCTGATGTAGCAGCGACAGACACCTTAAGGGGATCTGTCACTGTTTTCTGACATTAAAGACAAAAGTTAGTTGACTCATTAATTGAAAATAATCACATTTATCCACTTTTTACGCTCAAGCTGCTTCCAGGTTTCACTAAAAGTTGTGCAGATCACTTTAAACCTGCTATCAGGCCTTTACTCTGCAGGATTCAGTCAAAGCAAACTTCTCTCTCCTCGTCTGAACTCTGTTTTTGTTTGGTCTCCAGCTCTGCCCCGGCGGGTTTCGCAGCTCTTCCCGCACACAGAGCAGTTCCTGTTTTTTCAAATTCTCCCTCTCCGGCCGGTCCTGGGAGGGGCCTGGCCGGCGCAGCAGCACGTGCCCGCACACAAGCTCACATTCCTGGGCGTGGAGGCGGCGGCCTGACGTGTCCCGACAGGAGGTGAACGGTTTCTGCTGCAGCAGGGAAGGAAAAAAAAAATCAGAGCCCCCACGTGCTGTAAACACGTGATCGACCTGACGGAGGTTATAAAAGAACAACTCCCTCCCTTCCCTCTGGCGCGTTACCAAAGTTTGAAATCAGGCAGTTTGTCAGAGGCCATGTGGTTGTGGGAAACAGGCAGCGGGTCTTTGTTTGCATTCCAGCCTCAGGACTGATTCACAGCCAACAGTTTCTTGCTCAAATTAGTGCCTGAGATGCAACTGAAGATGCTTTAATTCAAGCTCAGAGGCGCAGAAATCCACAAATCTTCAGTGATCTTTACACATACTTCTCAAAAGACATCATCAGGCTGCCTTCTTTGTCCGAGGACGATTAACAGGCCATTTGTTTTGCTCTAAGAGGCCTCGCACCTTCACATGAAGCATACATAATGCGACACTTGCAGGATCCTTTCAGTAGCAGCTTCCTTCTCCTCTTCAACAGTTGGTTTTAAAATGTAGATGAGTCTCTGGCAGCTCCCCACCAAAAAAAAAGGAAACTCAACAAAGCAATTAATAGTGTTCTTACTGTTTCTTCTTCTTCTCAAAGGTCGGCTTTGTCTGTTCGCTTTCAAAAGCTTCAAAAATAATTCAATCCAAAGGAAAAGCTTAAAGAAACATCCTGCTTGTGTTTGATATGGTTTTTCCACATTAAAGCTTCGGTTACTTAAAAAACAAGCAGCTACGGGTCAGAAAATGATCTGCACACTTTAAGGCTCCATAAAAGTCATTTAGTTCTAAAGCAAAGGAAAGCCTTTGTCTTTGAAGAGAATGTTTTTGAAAGAGAATTAAATCATTTATTTGGAGCCTGAAAGTGTAAAAGACCTCTTTTTCTGAGCCGTAGTTGCAGCTTAAACATTTTTGAATCTTTGGGAACTCGTTTAAAAGAAGTAAAAAGTCATTAAATATAGAAAATTGTCTTTTCATCATCTAAAAATCCTCTAAATCTGATCGTATGTAATATAAAAACACTTGTGACTGTTTCATCGGTACAGTTTATCGATAAAGTTTGACTCTTCAGAACATTTACCATCATTACAGTTTAGCGTCACGTTCTGGTCGTGTTTTGAAGAAAACTTTTAAAGCTAACGTCCAAAGAACGTTTTAGGGACATTTATCATTTCAAATCACGTTCCTGTGAGGTTACAAGGAAGAACCAACATTCTAAAAATGCTTTCAAGATGTTTTTGAGTCCTTAGATGATAGAAGATTTTTATCAAAACGTTCCAGAAATGCGATTTATTAACAACGGTGGAGCATTTTGTCTGCAGCGAGGACGTTTTCAAGGTAACATCTTATAAAACATTGCCACAACATTGGGTGTAATGGTCTAGCAACACTTGTGGAACATTTTCAGCGAGACAGAAGAACATTATAGGAACTCAAAAAAACTTTGCAGAATTTTCTCTGAAACTTTTTTAAAAAGCGGAAAGTTTCGCTGCTTTATCTTTTAAATATGAACACTGTTGATTATAATTTCCAGCAGCTGATCATGAGCGTGGCTGATGAGAAAATAACTTTATTTGTATTTCTTTGATTTTTTTTGCTCAACTTAAAGCATAAATCTGTCTTTTTACCCACTTAAATTCTCTAAATTAGGTCTAGATGTTATTTGCAGAATTGTTATTTCAGCTACTTCACATTAGAATCTGTATTTTGTACTGCGTTGTTGTAGCATCTCAGTTTTTAGATCCTTTGCTAAAGTAAAAGTAGACAAACTATACAGTTAAGGATGCACGATATATCAGCGACCACATCGGTATCGGCCGATATCACTGTTTTTTCCGTATATCGGTATTGGTCCGATGAGCAAATTTAGCCAATGTGACAAACCGATGACTGTCTAACATTCATCTCTACGTTTGATATCGCCGCTATTTGACAGATGTTTTTACTTAAATGGTCCTGGACCTAAACAACATAAAATATGTTTTACTTTTGTTACGTAATAAAGACGGCTATGTGGTCTAATTTGGCTTCTTTTCAATAGTTTTCACGTTCTCACAGTGCTTACTTATACTCATTTTTTGGTGTGAACAAAAATTGAACATAGACATCGGTAATATCGGTTATCGGCGATATCAGAAATATTAATACCGGATATTGGTATCGGCCAGAAATGTTAATATCGTGCACCACTATATATATTAAATAAACTTATGTAAAAAGTCCTACATAGTGGCATCAAAATACACTGAAAGCATCCAAAGTAACTGTACCTAGTTTGTAGAATTGCTGGTAATATCACACCTGATCATGAAATATTGCACCTGATTGACAAGATGTAAGTTCATGCTTCTGAAAAGCGATGTTTTCTAAAGAGAGATATTTGCTCTCACTGATGCCAAAGCCCTGTAGATCTGATACAACCACATGCTGCTGTAGCTGATGATCAGTGGTGGTTTATAGTCACAAAACGTCTTCTGGTGCAGCTTTTTTAAGTTCCTCCCTCCGTCTGCTCCATCAAAGGCTGCAGCCTGGGCGTCACCTATAAAACCCTGTTTGCCGCGACCCGACATTGTCAGTAAACTGACGAACCGGCCTGTAAATCAAAGGCTGCGACCGGCTGACAGGAGGACCTGCAGCACAACGGTGTGCTTTCAGAGGAAGGGTGGGGGGGCTGCGGTTTGTTTTTGAGGATTGGAAACTTCTTCTTCTTCTTTCTGCACCTCGTGTTGTAATGACGCCACCGCTCGCTGGGGATGTTTTTGCAGAGCAGACAAAAAGATAATTCTGTCGCATGTTGTCTTTGGCTTCCTTTATTTCAAACTCGCGGGCCTCGTCCTCATTGGTCCAAACCGCCGGCAGGGTTTGCTCCCCACATCCTGTTGTTGTTCTTATTCAGCTGGAAATATGACTCATAGCTCAAAAAAACAACACTGAGGCATGCTGTGACTTTTTTTTTTGTTTTTCTGTAGCTGCACATGTTTCATGCAGAATCCAAGGAAGGAATCTGATAGTTCGGCTTCACTGGCACTGAAGTCTGGCTTCACTTTCACATTGAGTTGTCACAATGGTTTTGGTTAATGATTAGCTGCAGGAATCCCTCTGCTGTTGGCTGATCATTACTGGTGCTGCACAAATACTTCTCCTCCGCGCCTTTTATCATGAAAAGCTTCATGTAGGTGGGTTGAACATTCAATCATAAACCAAACTAAGACTTAACCTGAGTCTAAAGTGAAACCTAAGTAGTTTTCTAGTTACGTTTTTACTCACTGTGGGCTCATTTTTCACTGCAATATGAACTCCTGCACCTCTATGGAAACAGAACAACTATAGCTAGAAGTAGAAAGAACCTAAATATGTCTTCTGTGCAGCACGACACAGATATGGTGGCAAAACAGAAAAAAACTGTAAAGTGTCCACAGGCATTACTAATACTGGAAAATATGGTGACTCTACATACTACTGATATTTAACTACTCGTCTCCTCTCTATTCTGTGGAAACTCTGCCAAAGTTCACATAAAAACTCTGGGAAGTTTTGTCAAGTGACTGTTGGTCACAGATGAGTTGGTCATGACTTCTCTGCTCAGGCAAACAGCACAGAGTTTTTTTTTAATGTTTCACAAAGTCTGATGAGTGCAAATGCTTTATTTTTGGGCAAGTTTTTGACATGTGAGACATTTACATTAGAGATTTTGATTAAATGTTATGATTTTAAGTTCAGAGTTGGTCATTTTCTTGATGAAACAGCACGTCATGGAATAGTGAACAATTAAAAATCAAAGTTTATAGTCATAATAGTGGCTTAAAAGTATAAAAAAAAATAATCTGACAATTCCTTCTGCTTTTACAGTTTCTGGTGTCATTTTGGTGTTATTTTAAAAAAAAGACAACATGCCTTTCAAACCTGTCTGTGGGTTTTGGGGTTCAGGAGGTTAAGGAATGGATGTTGTTTTTGTATTTTTTGTGTGAAGTGCACAGATGTACTTTCTTGCTGAGAGTTACATGAAAAGATCTCATGCTGTGATGTTTTAATGGGTGAGTGTTAAAGCTGTTGGTAGTTGGATGTTGACAGCTGACAGTTGACACTATTTACAGTCTTTACGTTCTGCAGAGATGCCTGGCTGTCTCTTCATATTAAGCACGGAGAATCTCATCAGTCTAAACGTGAATGAAAACATCCCCCAACATCTCCATCTGTTCCCTTAAAATCAGTCTTTTTAAAGATGATTAATTGACTAAAATCTGATTATTTAAACCTCCTGTTATTGTTGTATTTGAATATTTGAATTGTTGCATTTAAATTTGAATGTAATTTGTAATATCACATTCCTCAATAGTTGTAGCAACATCAGTTTCAGTATCATGTGTGATATGTTGGTTTCATGTGCAATACTGGGCTGCAAGGTGGCTCCGTGGTTCACAACGTTGCCTCGCAGCTAGAAGGTCGTTGGTTTGTGTACCCGGTGAGGATGCCCGGGATCTTTCTGCGTGGAGTCTCCATGTTCTCTCCGTGCAGTGTGGGTTCTCTCTGGGTTCTCCAGCTTCCTCCCACACAGTCCAGAAACATGCTGAGGTTAATTGGTGATTCTAAATTGTCTGTAGGTGTGAATGTGAGTGTGCTTGGTTGTCTGTCTCTAAGTGTAGCCCTGTGATAGACTGGTGACCTGTCCAGGGTGTCCCCTGCCTTCACCCTAAGTCAGCTGGGATAGACTCCAGCCCCCCACGACCCTAGTGAGGATTGAGCGGTGTATAGATGATGGATGGATGCGCAATCTTTCTTTTTCTTTGTCCAATATTTTAATTTAATGTGAATCTATGAATTAGATTGCCAGTTTAAAGTAGTTAAACGCTGCTTTATTCCAACTGCAGCTCAAATACACTTTACACAGTGTCAAAAGTACATTTTTCCCTTCTGAAATGTAGTGTGTAGATGTTTTATTCTGAACCAGACTGACCGACATCCCTGCGGTCGAGCTGCTAACGTGGATGAAACACAGCCTTCGCTCTCATGCAGCTTCTCTCCTCCACATGTTCCGGCCGCAACAGTCAGAGGAGACGAAAGCAGAAGCAGCTCATCCTCAGGTCTGGTTACAGAGAGCTTGGGCCTCAGCAGGTCGGCGCAGGGCGGCGGGTGAAGAGGTTAACAGGACGACGGAGTGAATGTTAACAGAGCAGAGTGAATGTTGTCTTTCTTTTCCCTCCGTCACACTGAGCAGCTCTCAGAGTAAAGAAGCGTGACCAGCAGCAGCTGTTGGATTAACAGCTGCCTCTGTTTGTCTGCTGAAACACTCTGATCCCTGAACTCAGCCTCCCTGCAGCCTCCTTCTGTCTCCAGATCCACTCCTGCCACCACTTCCCCACTCAGTCGACAGGCTTTACTGCTTTCTGTGTGTCACTTGTGATGGGATCAGATTCATTTCTACATTTAAATACGTGTCAATCAATTAAAAATCGAACATTAATACAGAAACAATAGCGTCACTGCACTGAAATAAAGGAAAATATTGTGCTTCATTCTCGTTTTTCCATTAAAGTTAGTTTTTTGCATTTTAAATAATTAATTGGCTTGACTTGATTAGAAAGAAAATATTAATTTCTTCACTTTAAACACCACCTCTGATGAAAATAAACTTTTTTTCTTTCTTTTTTAAACCGTTGTAACACATCCATGTGGTGACTTTTATATGCAAGAAGACTCACATAAGCTGTCAACATCACATCTGAATCTTTCCACCTGTGTAGCAACAACAGTTTATGAAACACAGATTCAGATTTTTGTTCTTTCACACAAAACAAACCTAAAAAAAAACATCCTGCCTTGCAGCTCGCAGGGTGGAGCTTCCTGTGTTGTTATGCTTCTTCAGAATCGCTTTCTGAATTCAGTTTGTGTGGATATATTACTCAAATCATACAACTTGTGTAGTGCAGAGTAATTTTACAGTGTTTTGAGTCCAAGGCGAGCTGGTGTGCTCGAGTAGAGGAGTGGTGCATGACGAGAGAAGCAGGGACTTCATAAAAGTGCACATTGTAGAGAAAGCAAAGGTGTACAGTTAGATCTCAATCATTTTAAGGCAGGAAGGGATTGTTTTTGTGAGAAAAAAATGTCTAAATATGTAAATTTAATACACAGAGATTAATTTTTATGGGTTTAAACGATATTTCATGCAAAAATGAGAAAAAGACTCAGTGATATTAGCCCTCTATGTCCTTGTTTTGTGGTATTTAATTGAATATCTTTGGATTTTGGACTGCTGGCTTTGCAAAACCAGCTAACTGAAGACTCTTATATAGATTGATGACATCTTTGAGCATTTTCTGACATTGTACAGACAAAACAATGAATCACAAAATCAAACAAATTAGCACTTCTGTTCAATTCAGGCTTCATTTTGCTCCATATTTGTGAAAAACCTTGGAATGAAATACATCTGCTCCTCCAAAACTGACAGACTTTTTTTGCCAAAGTAAAGACTCCCAAAGAGTTATTCATGCCTTTATTACCACTCAGGAAAGTTATTCTGAATCGTGTAACTGTTCATTCTTTGTATGTGGATGTAGAGCAGTTGTCTCTTCAGCGTCTGCAGCTGCTACAAAATGCAGCTGCTGATCCTCTGACAGGAAAATGTATGTGTCATCACACAACAGCAGGACTGGCCTCCCTCTAATGGCTTCTTGTCTGTTTCAGGATTGATTTATTTGATTTTGCTGCCTGTTTTTAGGGTTTTAAATGGGTTAGCGCCACCGTTTTCAACCCGGTAAGAACACTGAGGTCAACCAGATGATCTTGGATGTTCTGAGATCTTCACACAAAAATAGCATTGATCAAGTTCCAGTGTCTGCTGAAGACACAAGTAGAGCTTGACAGCCTGCCTTCATCACCTATTATTTTGAATGATTATGTTTCTATTCTTATTTTATTCTGTTTTCCATGGATTTGTCTTGCAGTCATTGTTTATTATGGCCTGCTATTTTAACTGTGCAGTGCTTCAGTGTAGCTCTTGTTGATTTAAATGTGTTTTATGAATAAAATTCACTTTGCTACACAAATTACTGCCAATATTTACCAAGATAAGAGACACGAAGTTATAAAACCAGTACACATTTGTTGTGTTTCCTGCTTCTTCGTTTGTCTGTGTTGCAGAAAGTGTTTGATCTCGGCTGCAGACTGAGCGCGCCATCTGGCGGCTCAAGTAACGCGAGATTACGGCGGCCGAGAGCGGTCAGCTGAGCAACGCGGAAGTGAGAGTACAACGTAAACATAACGGCGCAAAGTAAACGCTTAAGTGTCCCTTTCGGAGGCTTTTATGAGAACATGGTTCGGTGTTTCCTGATCCACACCGTGTGCCCGATCAGCGCGCTGTCTGCCGGGGAGTGCCGGGTCCTGTACTCCCGGGTGTTCGGTCCGGATGAGGCGGTTCTGTCCGAGGAGCACCGGGAGCTGAGCCCGGAGGAGAGGAGGCTGCTGCAGAAGGAGAAGGTGGCCGTGGTGGCGAGGTGAGGGTGTATTCTGACTTTAAAAAACCGTTTAAAAACCTGCTATTATTTTATCCTAGAACATACAGAACCGTCCTCTTCAATAAAGCTGACTGAATAACGGTAAACATGATGCTAATGCTAACTAGCATATTTCCAGTCACCTGACCAGCAGAGGGTCAGTGAAGGCAACAGGTGGGATTAACTTTGGTTTTAAAAAAGGGTTAAATTTAGATATTAATGTCAACGTGTTTTGAAATATGACTTTCCTCAATAGTTTTTGCAATTTCATGTGTTATTTCCCCGTTTCTACGTGCAGTATTTCAGTTTAATGTACAACTATTTCATTATCATGTGTATTATTTCATTATTATATTATATTATATTTAATTTAATTTATTACTGCAATACTGGGTCACCTCTTCCGGACTCACTGGTGTTTGTTCTCACTTTTTAATTTTAATGTTATTTTCGCATATTTATTTTTCATTTCTTTAATTCATCACACTTACATCTTTTTGCTTTTCTATTAGATCCTGCATTTATCCACATATTCAGGTTTTTTTTCCTGAGAAATGTCTGGCAAAAGAATTTTCTCCAGAATTACTAGAGTTATGCTCTGGAAGCTTTGGAGCTGTTGAGCTGCTTGTATCTGCAGCTGTGTCAGGCATGTCTTTAAATGACAATTATCAGACGGTGGTGTGAGCAGACATTCCTCTGACCAGTGATGATCAAAGGCCACCTTAAAATGCAGCTTTACCCAAATATCATGATGCCACAGATGGCAAGAGAAAAGACTCGAGTGTTTGATGCTGTCAGCTGGGGTTGCACTCGGGCACTTGAACATTCACAACTCTATTTGTTTTCAAAATCATCTGAGACAACGTGGTGTGACAGACAATCCGCCACATGACCGGAGACCACCACCTGAGTCCAGAAGTGTCACAGCCGACTCTGTAGATGGACCTCTCTCTATCTACAGAATCATCTGGTCACAGAGGCGCTAAAGAAGTTGTTGGTGTGCACAACCAGAAAATATCTGCTCAAACTATGCGTCCTCATGTCTACAGAATATGCACTGCTTTTCTGTAGCAGCTGAACATGCTCAGTCCTACATGGCCTGCAGACTGTCCAGACTTGTCGCCCAGCTAACATCTGTGGGATGCTTTAGATGTTGGACAGTGTGATCCTTTCACCTAAAATGTCCGCCAGCTTCTCTGAATGCTTCAGAAGGATTGACACAATGTTCCACCAGCACCACTGACGACCTCATTTGCTCTCTGTGTTGCAGATTTGGGGCACAATGTCATACAAATGGTGGAAACACTTATCACATGATTATTTCCACGGTACTTGGTGGCTTCATGACGTCCATTCTGTTGATGCTACGTGTTGGAACAGCAGATACTTGTGTCCTAATGTTAAAAATAATGGATCAAATTGAACTGAATATCACAAGCTGCATTTATATTTTTGTTTGGAATAAACGAGACCGTGTGCTCCAGACCTGAAAACTACCAAATCACTGATCAGTCCATCACTGCCATGCTTTTCCAGAACTTAGTAAATGAATCTGAAGCGTAATAGTCTCCGCTGCATTCAGGGGTTGTAGTGCATCTCTATGCTGCTTTGCCAAAAAGGGTGGAAAAGGTCACTACAGTTAAGGTATTGGTGATCTTTAAATGTTCTTTGCAAGTTGGAGAGTTATGAAGATGCCAGAAAACACAGCTAATGGTTGTTTTCATTGATGAGTCATCTGATTAATCTGTTAGTTGTTTGGTTGATTAAAAGTCAGAAAATAGTGAAAAATGTTGATTCGTGACGTCTTTAAATGTCTTGTTTTGTCAGCAAACAAAGACATTCAGTTTACTGTCACAGTAAGTAGCTGGAATCAGACAGTTTTTCTTCAACAAACTGATAAATTTAACAGATGCCAAATAATTGATTAACCTTCGCAGCTCTAATAAGCGATTAATAAACACTGTAGCAGTGGATTCATTCGTTATATTTGTGTGACATTAAGTCACAAAAGATATAAACGAACCCATTTTCAGGATTCCCAGGATTCAGTTGCCTCTTCCTCCAGGCAGGAACTACAGAAGACAAAGAAGTTTTCTGCTCATTAGCGCCTTGATGTAGCTGCTTGGAAAATGCACCGATGAGATCTGGTCATCTGGGGAACACTTCCAGGCTCCGACTTTTTGTGATAATTTGAACAGACCTTGAGGCTTCACTGCCTGTGTTTCTTCAAATTAACACCAGGACTTGTTGTGCCAAGGAGCTGCTGCTCTTCTCTCCTGTTGCTGATTTGATAGATGCTACTGTGCAAAAGTTTTGGGCTCTTGTATATATTTAGATTTTTATCCATCGAGACAGGCCATGAATCCATTCTGCTGGATGTCAATGATCCTAAACACACAATCGGAGTCATAAAAAAATCATCTTTGGCCACATGAAGAACAAGACGTCCAGAAACAGACGGTCTGGTCTCCACAGAAACGGGATTTTAACACAGAACGCATTAAAACAGACGAAATTCAGATGCATGGACTAAACTACCTGTCAAATACATTGAAAAACTGTAGGAAAGCATACCTGGTGCTGCTTTAAAGGCAAACATTGATTTTATTTAGGTTTTTGTCCATTTGTATGAAGTTAATAAATAAATAAAAAATGTAAAACTTTTGTCGACGGCAGTAAATGTTTGTAATAACTTTGGATAACTGCCGTTTCGCTACCTATCATCTCTGGAAACCTTGATTGTGGTAATCCAGGAGTAACAAACAGCACCCCCGTCCTGCTGTGTGTGTGTGTGTGTGTGTGTGCGCGTTTTTTTTTATGCTATCATGCATCCAGCCTTCGTTCTGCATCCTTTATTTTTTGATGGCACACATTGTAAAAACTCAGCCAAGACTCGTTAAAAAAAAAAAAAAAAGCCAGCGGAGGCCGTCAATCTTCTCCGCGTTTTGTCTCGTGTGTTTTCCGGTAACTGAAAAGTGTTTGTGTTAGTTTTCTTCTTCTCCCAAATGACAGCCTGTAACCGCTCATTATCACTGTCAAAAGAAAACGTGGCGGAAAAAAGAATTACGTTACCATTCTCCTGCAACATGTCAAGTCATGACAGTTAAATTTCCACAACGTTGGGGGAAGTAGCTGTTTTCTCGGCGTTTTCAAGCATGAAGGAAGACGAGAGGCTTTTCTGTGCTTGTGCTGCGGTTATGGGGGGAAAAAAATGGTAAAATGCCAAAACAAAACTAAACAAAAAGAGAGCCTCTTTATCTCTGTTATGGAGGATGTTCTCATAATGTGGCGACGACGCATGTGTTTGAATCTCAAGATCACAGCTGTGGCGTACACTTGTCTCTGTTTGAAATTTGAATTGTTTTGATATTTTTCCTGCTATAAAAAAAAGCAAGAATCAAAAGAATAATCATTACTGGGAGCTCTGATTTGAATATCATTGATACAATAATGGTGATTTATAAAGAAGATCAGCCTAACCAGGGCGGTTAGTTTAAAGGCAAACTCAGGAGCTACCTTTTTAGTCCTGCTTTTGATTGATGTAATGGATTTTATTCATTCATTACTCGCATAACTTATTTTATTTATTGATTTCTCTATTTATTCATCTGCATACATATTTTCGTCTAGTTAGTGTACAGTTTATCACCCAATTTGTATTATGTTCCTATTCTGTTTTTAGGATTTTTGACTTCTGTAGTAGATTTTTACATTTATTTTTTATAATTTTATTTCATTTTTATCTCATCTAATGTTTCCTTGGGCTGCAAGGTGGTTCAGTGGTTAGCACTGTTGCCTCGCAGCTAGAAGGTCGCCGGTTCATGTCCTGGTGAGGACACCCGGGATCTTTCTGTGTGGAGTTTGCATGTTCTCCCCGTGCAGCGTGGGTTCTCTCCAGGTTCTCCGGCTTCCTCCCACAAGTCCAAAAACATGTTGAGGATGAAGCGGTGTATAGATAATGGATAGATGTAGATGATGTTTCCTCTTTGCATGTGTTATTTAGGATGACGTTTCCTCTGTTTCTGTCATTTGTAACAGTGCTCTATTGTTTTGTTGCATTTTTACGTCTTTTATCCATAAAGCACTTTGTTTTACATTTAATTTGTATAAAAAGTGCTTTATAAATAATGTCTGATCGATTGAAGCGGGCCTGTAGGCTCGACAGCCAACCTGTTTGTTCATTCCCTGCTGCTCCTCCAGGCAGGTCCACAGCGCCGTCACTTTGTCCCGGGAGGCTTCGGGTCGACAGCCGGTGGAGATGGTTCCGGGCGAGGAAGCTCTGGCCCTGCAGGACGCCGACAGCGGCGTGGCGAGGCTGAGGGCCGGGGACCCCTTCGACCAGGAGATGAGCGTTCTGTGGCTCGGCGTCCAGAGTCTGGGCTTCACGCTGGTCTGCGAGCCCCACGAGAACCTGCTGCTGGCCGAGGGAACCCTGAGGAACCTGACCCGACACTGCCTGGAGCATCTGCACATGCTGGGATCGGGCAGCGAGGTGAGGAGATCACAGGCCTCCAACATGTGTTGTTCACTCAGGGCGTTTTTAGGGGAGCACAGGGCAGATTATGGCAAAAGAATCAGAAAGGTTTAATTAGCAACTAGATTTTCACATACAAGAGATTTGACTTGGGGTTTTAGTTTAATGATGGGTATGGTCTGATTATTGTCGCTGATGGAGGTAATAGGTAATATCACACATGATAATGAAATAATGCACCTGAAAAATGAGATAACGTACCCAGATCTTCCATCATTTGATGTGATACTACTTGCAGTTTTACTATATTAGCCTTCGTGTGAAAGAAAAAAAATGTCACAAAATTAGAGATAAGATACACTTTATTAATTGATATAGCTCAGAAAAAACAAATGACATAATGTAAAAGTAGAAAAGCAATAACATGTATAACTACGACACACTAATGAAGTAAAATACATACGCTAAAATAAGACTAGAGGGGAAAACATAAAGTAAAAGGTAATCTTAAACATGATAATGAAATGAAATATTGCACCTAAAATTGGCATTAAAGTGAAACATTGCACATGTAACCTAGATGTTACTAATAAAACTGAAATATTACACCTGAGAATATTCAATTCAATTCAATTCAATTTTATTTGTATAGTGCATATTTACAACAACAAGTCATCTCATAGCGCTTCACAAAGGCAGAAACAGAAACACCCAACAATCCAAAACATTTGGATTCCCTATAAGCTTCAGCAGTGTGCAAGCAGTCCGCAACAGTGGGAAGGAACCGAAAAAAAAAAAAATGAAATATTGCACATGAAATGAAAAGCTACACGATACAGACAAATACTAACCCTAACTAACGATTATTGTGGCCGATATTTTCCCAGTTGTTGGAATCGGTAGTTTTATTGAGCAATTCTTGATAAATTGAAAGCACTACTTCGGGTGTGATGCAGCCTCGTGTCTCTGGTCTCAGAAATGTTTCTGCAAAAACTGAACAAGACACAAACTGTTGCCACAAACCAGGAAATTAGCTTCTCTCACGGTGGCTAGCACTATGCTAATGGCTAGCAGCTAAGTTAAAAGGCAGATTAACCAGAAACAGAGTTTGGAAAACTATAATTGATAAAGCTTTAAGATCTGGACCTTAGAGGGAAAAAAAGCAACAGAATAGTGAAAGATTGAGAAGAACAACAAACTGATCAATCTCAGTCGTAAACAGAGGAGAGCGTCCTGATTTAATCCCTCCTATTTTTATTGTACATATTCAGTATTAGTCACCCTTATTAACAGAGAAGCCTAGTTATGAATGACAGGTTCTCTGCTGTCACATGCTGTTTAAACATTCATCTAGCTATCTCAGGTGCCAATAACTGGTACCAGTATCCCCTCCGTATCCATCACTACCTACAAATGAGGCCTTCAGACATGTGTAGAGACAAATACAGAGCCCAGGTCTTATTAGAATACATGTGTAATTACAACAAGGCGTATAAGTCACAATAGTGTGCTCGTGGCAATAAAGGAACACGTCACCCCGTGTGCCGACGTGGCTAATTAATGTAATTGGATGTTGGCGCTGTTTAACGCGGAGGAACGAGGTGCATCAGGCGCTGGATGTGCAGGCGCTACGTGTTAGTGGGATCAGCTAATTGTTGGTTTTGACCTTTTCCTGGGATTTGTTGAATATCACCAGATTTATCCTTTAAGACCAAAGTAATAATTGTCTCCCAAACAGCAATGATGGAGCTAAACCCTGCAATTAGAAATCTTTCCCTCGTTTAATCCCGGACTTACCAGCTGGCCAACAGCAAACGAAGCGCGGCCAGACCTCCGACTTGTTGAATTCAAGTACAAACGCTGGTTGTAAATGAGGGGAGAGACAGTAGACCGACGTTGTTCTGCAGCCAAAACAGTTAAGCTCCTGAAAAACTGTTTGTAGGTGCCCATAAAACAGCCACGGGCAGAGCGGTGTTATGGCGGCCTGAAGGTCTCGCTGTTCGGATTTATTTCTGAAAGCACCATAACAACAATTAGAGGACTTTTTTTTTTACATTCTTTGTTGGGTTTTTGCCTTTTTTCTTTTTCAAGTTGCTCTTCTGATTTTTAGAAAGTGTTTAAAAAAATGACAAGTTTAAAATAACTGCAGTGTTACAAGCAGCTGACCAACAACTAAAGACCTTCAGTCAAGCTCGGCCTCCTCGTTTGAGACATTCAAATCACTGGATTTCTTTCTATTTTATAATACCTTAAGGTCTCCACTAAGACTGTTAATGTTTCGGAATTAGCGGTAAACACAAAATTAAATTGTATTCAAGTTTGAAAGTTAAGGTTAAAATTCACTTAAAGGCAACATAAGGGTCAACATGAGTCGATTCTCTGTCGTCACACTCCTTAAAGTTGTAAAACATGAAATTAAAACTGGCTCTATATGGTTTGAAACGTCACATTTTTCCTATTTGTGTAAAGAAAAAGAGCTTTTCCTCATTTAGAACACATTAGTAGCTGTTTCCAGACAAATCTGAACCAAACTTCTTGAAATATTGGAAAAAAAAAAAAAAAAGTAAATTAGACTGAATTCCATGAACTACTTTGGAGCAGATAAACTCGGCTGCATAATGTGGTCAGAAGGTTGAAGAAGAAGAAGCTTTATTGTCATTGTACAAGATATACAACAAAATTATGTTTGACATCATCTTTGCAGCAGCTGATATGGTTACAAGAAAAAAAATAGTTAAAAGATGATAGAAATAATAAAATTGCAATAACATAATACTCTATTAAAAGTGCAAAAGAGCATTTGTTAGAGTCCGTAAACTGGGAGTGTCATGGTTCCTGCATCAGAAGGTGGCGCCATAGGCTTCATATCTGTAATGTACAGAGTAATTAAAAACACCAAAAAGGTAGAAACATCTAGACCATCTAAATGAGAAGAATGGAGAGAGGTCTTTACGTAGTGACTTCAAGTATACATGTAAGTATTTTTTCATGTCAGCTTTTACTGGTTTCATGCTGACTGGAGGTGACGACAACAAAAGAAACAGCTGATCAGTCGTTAAATGTTCACAGCATCAGGACTTATTCTGAAAAGGTGCATTAAGTGCATTTAGTCCTTTTTGATAAAAGTTTTTCTTTAAATTCGAGAAGTAAAAACATTCTGGAAACAAATAAAGTCTAATGTCTTATGCACTATGTAGCCTTGCGCATTCTCAGGTGATTAATTTGCACATTCCTGCACAAAGGAAGCGTTTCTGTGACGTTCTGTGACTCCCTTGATTACAAGACTCGGTGAAATACCAATACAGGTCAGTGTTTCCTCGAGGGTTTTTTTTCAGCGCCGTGGAGGCGTAAACAAATGACACTTTCACAACCAATTGATTGAGTGGCCAGTTGAAAATGGCTTTTTATAGGCTGTTGTGGCACTGCTATGGAAGTACAGGTGGAGCTGCTGCAGGTGGTCCCTGAAGGTAGCCATGTAGGTAACCTCAGACGAAGCATCTCTACATGTCAGGGCGAGGCAATGGGCAGCACAGGCAACTGGCAGCAACCACAGAAAGGCATCCTGCTACTGCTCTGCTACACCGTGCAACCTTCCTATTACAAGAAAAAAATAGAACAAAACAAACAACAAATTCCTGTTCTGTCTAACCTCATGCTCACTAGTGATAATGTAAAACATGCAGTAAAGAACACACTCTGCTAACAGTCACCACAGCAGCTCCATCTGTTCCTAATCCATACAGCTTTTTGTTAGGGACTTTCTTTTTGTCCAGCACTTCCTTTATAGCTGCTACAATGCTGTCTGCCTCCACATCAATAACACGCACAAGGTCAAGAAACTGGCTGCAGAGTTGGCCTTCTGCATTCATATGTCTGAAAAACATTTTAAAAAAGACATCTTCAACATATGTGTATTACTGATTCAGCCATTAATTATCGTCCCCTCAGCTTCATAATACCTGATCTAGCTGCCTCCTCACAGAGACGTCTCATCCATGTCCAGTCCGATAGCCACAGAGGATTGGACGTCTCTGAGGATTGGCTGCTCCACCACTGCAGCCAAGACCTCCAACATCTCATCTGTTATTATATGAGTTGGTAGTTTTTCCACTCTAAAAGTAAAATATACTACCTATAGTTCTCAGATTGAGGCAAGCTGACCTACAGTGGTTATTTACCTTCAGCTTTTGGAAATAGTCGCATCCTAGCAACTCGGCTAGCTCAAGAAGAGCTGGATAATTTGTGTGATGTGCTTTGGTTAAACAGTAGAGGCATTTAAACCCCCTGATGATTGCCCCAATACAAAGACTGGATCAACGGCAGCCACAACAGAGGAGCCAATGCAAAGCAGCTACAAATATGTTACTGCAAGACAAAGCAGGTCGTACTTAAAATGATCTGCTCCATCAGTTTAAATAACTGTTAATTCACCTTGTGCCAGTAAGATGGTGCTCTGTACTGGTGTGTTTATCCAAGTAATCCACTCGGTTAAGTTGACAGCCCGCCTCAATGAATGGCTGCTTCCTTGTTCCTCTTTTTGGTGCCTGTTGATGCTGCCGATATAAGAACATTCCTACAGGGACAGAGTAAAGTGGCATTATCGAATCAGTTTTTAACCTAACCGTTAGTCGTGGGCCGTATCATACCTTGCAAAGGAGTACCGATGTATTGTTAGGGGATGATATGAAATTAAAACACGCATGCGCAGTGCCGTTATTGTCATCCGGTCTAATGCACATGGAGCGAGAAGCCTGGCAGTGACCGAGGAGGAGGAGGAGGGCGAATGCAGGGCATCGACCAACACAGATGAACTAGAATTGGTTTGCAAAAAAAGGTGCAACCTCCGTGATGTGGAACCGGTTTGGTTTTCGCCTGTCAGATACACGGCAGTGCGCAAAACCTGCAAGCGGACCGTTGTGGTGAAGGGAGAAAACACAACAGACTTGTTTCACCATTTGAAGCAAAAGCACTTGTTGGAGCACAACAAAGCTGTAACTGTGTCATGATTCATCCACATG